GAGAAGGGGGTATAACAACTCATCAAGTCACTAGTCGACTACCCAACAATATTGCATAGTCAACTAGTCACTTACATCCCTATTGTTAACGTTCCTGATAATAGACTTGGGGTATACTTTCCAGTTTAGCTTATACATGATTTGCCAATAATGATCAAATACAGTGGCCATAATTTATAAATATCAATATCAAGTCATATTACCAATGCCCAAAGGCACTATATATTTATAGCCAAACTTCTCAGTTGTCCCTCATTTTACACACACATTTATACTCAACCCACCCAACCCCTGTATTGTTTCATTTCTACTGCAAATTGAAACATCAGAAATGTGGAATCGTGAAACCAAACATCTTGCCTGTAGTAAAGAAATTAAATCTAAACTTTTAAAGCTCACACCTATTTTTTTCTTGACTTTCTCACCTTGAGATATTTATCCCAATTATGAAGGCTGGACAATGAGGCAAATAACTTAAAGAAAAAAACTAATTTTTCCACCATCATCTTACCTCTTTTAGGTAGCTCAGCTTCAAACTTCTGTTTTTGTCACTACTTCTTTATATCATCTCAAATTCAGTTTTAAACCAGTTAATATTACTGGTTTCAATGGGTGCAAATGGGGGCAGTATTTTCTCCTTGTTCTCGAAGAAAGTGTACACAACATTGTGGGTTGTAATATATTAACTATAACCTGGGACTTGCAGAGTGGACAGCTTCAGAGAGTGCAAACTGGAACTGTAGTTTTGTACTCTGAAAAAACAAAACTTTTTTTGAACAGGCCTAAGTACTGTGTGTTGCAGGGGATAAAAAGGAAAAGGTAAGTTTTCCCCTCCTGTTTTGGAGACTAAGGTCACTGAAAATTCCACTGGAAGCACTTCCTTTATTCTTACGGAGGTTTGTGGCCAGCCTCTGAACAGGATGCAAGAAGGGAAGGGAAGGCTCCTTACTGTCTGGCCAACCCACAGAATTCAGTAAAAATCTGTCTTGCCTTGCAAGATCAACGTAAGAGCAAACACCAACACATTTTGTTATAAGAACCATTTATTATCTAGATTTTAGGACAAGCTAGAATGGGTAAAGATTGGACTTGGTATTAAAGTAAATGGAGTAAGTTTATTATCTGAGCCTGTATTTTATTTTCTTTTTTTGTTGCTACTACCACAGACAGTTCAGTTAAAACTACCATTTCAAACAAAGCAGAACTTATTTGATTGTTCTCTCACCACCCTGGGAAAGACATACAGCTGCTCCCCGAGTTGCGAACGGTTGAGTTACGACTGTTCGCACTTACGACCAAAGCTCCCATGGAGCAGTCATAAAGGTGGTCCCCGAGGTATGAACGCGACCTGCGCTTACGAACAGCGCGGTCGCGTGTAACTAAATGGGGTCCAAGTTCATAACTCAGAGGCTGTATTCAATGGAAGAATGTCGGGAAAAAGCTGGTCTCTAAGTTAGTGGTTCCCAACCTTTTTCATACTGCTGACCGGCAAACCCTTTCACAAACTTTTGGCAGACCAGCCACATTTTATTTGCGTATTCTTTATGTAAATAATAAATATGTAAATAAAATGTTACCAGCCGAGCAGCCAGCAGTAGGCAGACCAGCAACAGTCCACAGACCAGCAGATGGGAACTGCTGCTCTAAGCTACACTAATTGATCCAGATATCAAATCACAAATAAAAAGCAGAAGTATTAATTGTGGGGAAAATGAATTTACCCTCCTCTCACTCGTAGATCTTTAAATTCAGAAATGACAGTTCAAGGCAGGGTTACTCAACCTTGGAAAGCCTGGGGGCCACAATGATACTCTCAGCATATGCCAAGAGCTGCAACTTAAGTGTGGTTGCATATACTTGCAAATATATATGCAAATAGCTTCTTTCACATTGATGGGCATGAATACAAAGATTAAGGCAAGAATACACCACACACACGCCCCATTTAAGTCAGTTCTGCTGATATTAATAAAATGCAGTATTTACCCAATTTCTACCCATGGAGAGCACTTTTAATGAGCAATGACAGTCTAGGAATTTAACTACTGAAACATATACAGGCAGTCCCCGACTTACGCGGATCCGACTTATGTCGGATCCGCACTTACGAACGGGGATCTCTCGCCCCGGAGCGCACAGGCAGCGGTCAGCCACCTCAACCTCCGGGGCGAGAAAAGCTGCTCCCGGTGCCCCTGGTCTGCTGGGGACCGTCTCCAGCAGACCAGGGACACCGTGAGCAAACCCGCAGCAGCGGCAGGGTCCCCCGCTTCTGAGGCTTTGCTCCGGCAAAGCCTCAGAAGCGCGGGAACCCGCCACTGCTGCGGATTTGCTCCCGATGCCCCTGGGCTGCTGGAGG